TATAAACATCATTGTCAAATTTTGAAGAGGGAGTCTCCTATTCAGGGTGAGCTCACAGGGCAGAAATAATTCCAATGGTGGGAGAGGATGTGGTTGAATGTATGCCTTGGGGCTCAGAAGGCCTTGGGTTCAAACCCTGATTCCTTTGCCTACCATCTGTGAGACATTGGGCATGTTACATTTTTTTCATCTGTGAAATGAAGACAAAACGGACCCCAAAGTTGGACCAGATTACTTCTAAAGTTTCTTCCAGCCTTGACACTTTATCATTTTTAAATGTTTATTTATTTTTGAGAGCGAAACACAAGTTGGGGAGGGGTGGAGAGAGAGGGGGACAGAGGATCAATCTGAAGTGGGCTCTGTGCTGACAGCAGCAAGCCTGACACGGGGCTCAAACTCACGAACCGGGAGATCAAGACCTGAGCTGAAGCTGGATGCTCAACTGAGTAAGCCACCCAGATGCCCTTACACTTTATCATTTTAAAGCAACCTCTGCTCAAAACTTTTCAGTGCTTACCACAGTCTACTAAGTTGAGTGTAGATACCAATTCCTCCAGATCCTAGTTCTAGTCTACCTTTTATATCTCATCTTTCCCACCTCAGCTCATACCTTATGCTGCAGAAACCCCAAGCTCTTATATTAATTCCTGCCTTTATGTTTGCTATAATGTGAGGCATTATACCTCCAACTATTGAACCCTACTCATCTGTTAGGAAATCTGTTTTCTTCTTCTTCTTCTTCTTCTTCTTCTTCTTCTTCTTCTTCTTCTTTGAGAGAGAGAGAGAGAGAGAGAGAGAGAGAGAGAGAGAGAGAGAGAGAAAGCGAGCACAAGCAGGGGAGGGGCAGAGGGAGAGGGAGAATCTTAAGAAGGCTCCATGCCCAGTGAGGAGCTAGATCTCATGACCATGAGATCATGACCTGAGCCAAAATCATGACCTGAGTCCAAATCAAGAGCTAGACACTTAACTGACTGAGCCACTCAGGTATCCAGGAAATCTGTTTTTTGTTGTAAGTTACAAAAACACCAATTAAAACTATTCAAACTATAAAGACATGTTGGTTCATGGAAAAGTCCAGAAGTAGGTCAAGTTTCAGGTATGTTTTTAGCAGGTTTCTGACTCATTTCTTCTATAGAGTTTTCTTAGTCCTGCCTTCCTCCACGTGATGGCTTTACTTCTTTGGCTGACTTTCCCTCTTGGTGGCTTTGATGGTCAATTTTGTGTGTCAACTTGACTGGGCTAAGGTATGCCCAGATAGCTGGTAAAACATTTCTGGGTGTGTCTGTGAGGGTGTTTCTGGAAGAGACGAGCATTTGAATTGGTACCCTAAGATCACCCTCAACAATGCAGGTGGGTATCACCCAATGTGTCGAAGACCAAATAGAATAAAAATGCAGAGGAGGGCAAACTTGCTCTTAGCTGAACTGAGACATCCATCTTCTCTTTCCCAGGACATTGGACATCACCAATCCTGGTTCTTAGGCTTTTGTACTTGGACTGAATTATACCACTGGCTTTACTGATTCTCTAGCTTACAGATGTCAGATCATGGGACTTCCTGGCCTCTATAACCATGTGAGCCATTTCCTATCATCTGTCCCTATCTATATCGATATATCCTATTGGTTCTGTTTCTCTGGAGAACCCTAATACAGTGGTTAAGAAAAAAATTCTGCCACAACTCCAGGCATCATAGCCTATACCACATGTCCTGAAGGCGACAGAATGTTTCTGCTTCATTCTTCTTCTTTATTGGACCAACAAGAGTAGGTCCTTGATAATTAGGAGACAGGTTAGTATAGTGTTCAGCATGCAGGCTCGAAAACTGGACTCTAGCACTTAGTAGCTGTGTGACCTTGGGAAAGTTAACCTCTGTGCCACAGTCTTCTCGTCTGTACAGTAGGGATTATAATAGTACCTACCTTGAGGGCTGCTGTGGGAATTAAATACGTTTGAAAAGTGCTTAGCACATTTCCTGGCAACTAGTAAATACACTACATTAGCTCGTGTTGCCAGTGTATTCCTCAGAAACATCTCCCTTCATACTGTGATCTTCAAGGATTCTTCTGGACAACACAGAGTATTCCTAACACGTCTCTGTTTAATTCATAGCCATCCATTCAACAAATATTAGTTCTAGGGACTGAGGAATGAGCAAAATGGACAAAATCCTGTCTTTGTGAAGTTCACAAAAAAAAGTAGTAGAAGGTGGGGATGGGAGAGGGACAACAAACAAATAAACAGTATTTAAGGTGGTAATGAATGGTACGGAGAAAAATACAGCAGGAAAGAGCACAGAGAAGCAGGGTGTTGCTATTTTTTTAAATTTTATTAAAAAAAATTTTTTTTAGTGTTTATTTATTTTTGAGACAGAGAGAGACAGAGCATGAACGGGGGAGGGGCAGAGAGAGAGGGGGACACAGAATCGGAAGCAGGTTCCAGGCTCTGAGCCATCAGCCCAGAGCCCGAGGCGGGGCTCGAACTCACGGACCGCGAGATCGTGACCTGAGCTGAAGTCGGACGCTCAACCAACTGAGCCACCCAGGCGCCCCAGGGTGTTGCTATTTTAAGTGTGGGCCAGTGAAGGCTTCTCTGAGGAAGTGACATTTGAATGGAAACCTGAAGGAGTGAGCCATGCCCACATCTGGGAGGAGGGCATTTGAGGCAGACACAACAGCAAGTAACAGAGGTCTTGCGGTTAGCAGAATGCTTGGTGTGTCAAAAGAACAGCAAGGAGGCACATAAGGCTGGAGCAGAGTGAGAGGAGGTGCAAGCAATACAATAGGGGATAAATTCAGAAAGGTAGCAGAGAGTAGATCACACAGGACCTTTGAAACCATGAATATAATCCTCAGTGCCAGCAGAAAGAGGATTAACACCTGCACAGGGAGGGTGCAGCACCACAGCCAGCACCTGGTGGTGGGGCTGATGGGAGGGCAGAGAAAGCCTCTCACAAGAGGTGTTCCTGAGTTGAGTTTTGAAGGATGAACAGGAAGTATCTAGGCAGAAGAGGAGGTGCAGTCCAAGTGGAGAATGTGCTACAGCAGAGGGTGCTGAGAGACTGTTGTGTATTCAAGTGCACATGGTAAGGCCAGTACAAAGGGAGGGAGGTGAGGAGCCAGGAATGGCCAGAAACAGAGCAGAGGAGATTGGCAGGGACCAGTTCCTTAATTGGTTGGTTGATTGATTAATTCACTCAAGTGTTTACTGAACATCAGGTCTATACCAGACATTGCACTAGGTAACAATTGCATCGTTACCAGACAATGATGTACCCAAGCAGTCAAAGATGCTTGGTCTCATGGAACTTACCTTCTAGTGGGGAGACAGACAAAAAACGCACAGACTAATAAACGACAAGACTAAGAAATACCATGAAGGAAATGAATAAGAGACTAGAGAACATCTTTAGCTGGGGTGGGAAAGGCCTCTCTGCGGTGATATTTAAACTGAGACTTGAGGCAGAAGAAGGAACCAGAAGTTAGAACATGTGGAGGAAGAACGTTCTTGTCTTTGGTCTCAGTATCATTATTTCTCCAATTGGACTTCTCTTCCTTTGAAGGGAGACAACGGCGTCATCAAATAATACAAACGGAGCTATAATTGCTGGTTTCGCAGGGCGAGGATTCCATTCAAACTCTGCCCAGTTAGGACTCCCGTTCTTAGGTGGGTTCTGGGGCAAGCGATGTGAAAAACACGATCATGAAATCACAAGTCTGCCACAAGATTTTGGACAAATCTCACCCTTCAGGGAAGTATAGCTGAGGACAGAAGGGCAACCTTCTCCTGTGCTCTTTGAAGGCCCCTCCGCCTGTTCCGTGGAGGCTGGAACACTGATTTGGGTGAGTTTACGACAGGAGAAATACTCAGGAGAGAGGACCACCACCCAGATCAAGTTATCTATCAAACGTTTCCCGCACCCTAGAAGGGTAAACGTACTTCAATTTAACCTCCTTTGTAGGTGGGAGTGGCGCCTCCTCTCCAAACCCAACCCAACTGCTGCCTCTCCGCCCCGTCCTAGCCTAGGCTGAGAGGAACTATCCTCGTCCAGTCCACGCACCTGGTTCGCTGAAAGTGAAAGGACCTAGGGCTCCTCCCTACGCCATCTCTTCCGCACCCTTCGGTACGGCCCCCCGCCAACTTGTTTGGGCCCTGTCTCCAGACGCCGCCCATCTTCAGCACCAGCCAGCCGCTCTTGCTTTGGGTCACGCCTCCTTCCGGCTCTTCCCCGGAGTGGCCACCTTTGAGCCCCCACCTCCCTGCTCGGCTTCCGGGAACGCCTCCTTCTGTCCCGCTTCAGTTTTTCCTCCCTCCTGGGTTTCTCTTCAGCCACGCCTCCGGCCCCCTCTGCTAAGGGTGCCGCTTCGCCCAGCCTCGCCTCGGTCTCCCTCCACCTTTGACTCCTCCTATGGGCACGGCCTCCCTTTAGCTCCACCCACGTCCCCTCCTTTCAAGCACGGCCCTGGCTCCTGGCTCGGCGCGGCCTCCACGGTCTTCCATACCTGCCTTGCGCTTCTCTCGTCTCCCGCCTCACCACCCTCTCAGCCCTGCCCCGCCTTCGGCTCGCTTATTGGTGTAGCAGAGTCTCTCTCTTCCAGTCCTTAGCTCCGCCTCTCCAGCCTCCCTCCTCGGTCCCTCCTCCCTCAGTCAGGCCCCGCCCTGGCTCCGCCTGCCTCTTCTCCCCGCCGAAGCTCTGGACCTTTCCAAAGCGAGGCTGAGGGGGTGGGGAAAGCCCATGCGCCCGGGAAGCCGGGCTGTGTCAGGGTGGGGCTGCGGACTCAGCGCTTGGGTCTCGGTGTCCTTTCCCGGAGAAAGAGGCAGGGGCGTGGAGGGAAGGCCCAGGGCCAGGGCTGGAGCGGCGGGTGGGGCCAAGCTTAGGGAAACCGTTCAGGGCACCCCCACTCCCGCGCGCTTCAGTGGTGCCGGCCGAGGGAAGGACTCGCGGCTGCGGGGCTCGCGCCGCTGTCAGTGCGGCGGGGCGCGCGAGCGGCGCGGGCGCAGGGCGGGCTTAGCCGGGAGAAGCTGAGGGGGCGGTAGCGGCGGCGGGGGCGACTCCCGCGCGTGTGCTCAGCTCCTCACGCCGCGGCCGGAGCCGCCTTCTTCCTCTTTCGCTCCCTCCCTTCCGCCCCCGAGTGCGGCGGCACCGCCTCCTTCCGCGCCGCGCGGCTTCCTCCAGACCTCTTGGCGCGGGTGAGTGGGGGCCACGGGCGTCTCCTTAAGGGTGCGGGGGAGTGTTCCTCTTTCCTTTTCGGCCGCCCACCTCTTCACTCGAGTTCCTGCCTATTTTTAGAAACTCTTTTTTCGGCCATTCTGGGCGTCCCAGGAGCGGGAGTAACTCCCGGCCCCCTCCGCCCGCACCTCCTCCCCATCTCCGGGCCCGCCGCGCCGGGTCGCTAGCCCGGCCCATCCTCGCCTGCCCCCGGCCGCCTGGCGTTCCCTGGCCGATTCCCCCTTGCGGGCCGGGCCTGGGCCAAGAGTTGGCGGGGTGGGCCCGCGCCCGCTCGGAAGTTGGAGTCTTTGTGCTCGCGCCCCGCCCCACCCGGCGAGGGGAGGAGGGAAGGGAGCGGAGGCCGCGCCGGGGAGGCCTGGGCGGGCTCGGTCCCGGCTCCGGCCCCGGCTTCTTCCGGCTCTCCTGCCCGATCCGGCTGGGTCTGCGGGCTCCCCGAGGTGCGCAGAACTGGCCCTGCCTCGCTCCCCCCGGGCTTGAGCGCCGCCGCGGCCCCCGCCGCTGCCGTTCCTGGGCTCCTTGCATACCTTGGGGCTCGGAGAGGAGCAACAACCGGTCCTCGAGCTGGGGCAGTGTTCCGCAATTCACGCAGCCCTCTGTGTGCAGCCGAGCTTTAGTTTGTCCCTCCGTAAAATTTGGGAAAGAAAGTCGCCTCGCAGCATGTTTGTGGATTTAGGAAACTAATATGTGTGAGAAGTGTTTAATACCAACAGGTAACATTTAATGGACTTGACTAGGAACTTTGTAAGCCCTATTTCATTTAATGCTCATGACGGCCTTCTGGGGTTATCCCCCTTTCCAAAAGCAAAAAACAAGGCTCAGGGAGGTGAAATAATGTGCTGCAAATCATAGTAGTCATAGAAGTGTAAAGTCTTGGTACTAGTACCTGTTACTTATTTCTTAAGTGTGAGCTTGTGTAATCTCAGTGCAGAGAGGATTTTGACTTACCCTTGGGTCACATCGTTGGAGACGTAACTCCGTTTTCCCTGACTTCTAGGCTAGTGTCCACTATGCTATGGATGAAATCCCATTCTGGGGATATGAGGGGTCGGAGGGAAAGGAAATTACTGTGGATTTCTTGCTAGTATTGCCCGTTAGAATTTGATGAAGGTAGGGGACTCCAAATCTCAGGAACAACTGAAATTCTCTGGGATTTTGGCGCAAGGAAGGCTTGAGTCATTATAACAGTGAGGGCTATCCATTTTGTTTATAGTATGTTCCTCCCCCCAAACCTTGAGTGTTCTCCATAGTGTTTAGATTTATAGCTCCTGGTTGGGGGAGGGGAAGCAGGAAGTGGCTCAAGTCAAGTGCTTCAACTCTCTGCCTTCAAATAGGGTTTTATTTTCCCTATTTTCAGGTAAGACCAAGAGGGATAAAAGCGAACTAAAATTAACTTTGACTAGTGTTCTAGTTTTCCAGTGTGTTTGATCCTGGTGCGGGAAGTGTCAAAATCAGGTAGGCCACATTTTGAAAGAGTCTCCTGATGTTTGCATTAATTCTTGAGAGTCTGGAGGTCTGTTGTGCCCTCCTTTTTACAAAATTCTGGATTTAGAACTTGTGGTATGTAGGAGCTGGAAGGGGTCTTACTATCTGGTCTAACTTTTTTGTTTGCCTTGTCCTTCTTCCCTGTTAATTGAACACTGAAAGGGGAAGTAAGTTGTCTAAATTCACGGACTGCCTTAGTGACAAATTGGAACTAGAATTCCCAGTCCAGTAGTAGTTATATTTCTACAATCCCTTGCCACCTTTTGAAAGAGCAGTAAATTACATAGTCAGGCCTTAAGACCAGGAATCCTGAGTAAATTGAAATCACGAGGAAGTTGTTTAGTTCCAGCCCCTCTCCATGCCTCAGGTTTTGCATTAAAAGGAGGTCAGGTTTTGTGCACAGGTGTACCAGTTCTCATTACTTTTATTGTGTGGTACTTTATGGTTTATAGTACTCTTCTGGAATCATCTGATTTCATTTCTAATCAGTTCTGTGAGGGAGTTCTTAGAATTTGCTTTACATCTGCATTTTACAGCTGTAATTGAGAATGGAGACACAGCAAGGTTGGGATACTTGACTTTCTTATAATCACCAGATTAACAAGTGGTAAGGACAGGACACCTTTCATGGGCAGAGGATTTGATGTGGCATAATAAATTGAGCCACTTATTGTGACTCTGTGAACCTGTTTCCTTTTCTGTAAACTCAACAGGCTTGTGTGGGAGCTGTGAGAAATGGCCGTGAAAGTCTATTGCAGTAGTAGAAATAATAGCTAACATTAAGTACTTACCGTATACCAGGTACTGGACTAAGAACTTTCTCTGGGGTATCTCATTTATTCCTCAGAGCAATTTTATGAATTAGGTATCCCTGATTTACAGAGGAAGAAATAGGCTTTAGAGAGGTTATATGACTTGCTCAGGATCATGTAATTGATAACTGCAGACAGTATAACTTTAAAGCCAGTGTGGGTGTTTTTTTGTTTTTTGTAAAAATACACGGGACATAAAATTTACCATTTTAACCAGTTTTAAATGGACAGTTCTCTGGCATTAAGTGCATTCACACTGTTATGCAGCCATCACCACTATCCTTACCTAGAAATTTTTGTCTTCCCCAACTGAAACTGTATCCATTAAACACTAACTGCCTATTCCCATCTCCCCCCCCAGCCCCTGGCAACCACCATACTATTTTGTGTGTCTGAATTTGACTATTCTAAGTACCATATGTAAGTGGGATTATACATATTTTGTCCTTTTGTGACTGGCAAAGTTGGCACTCTTTGTGCCTCCCTTGACCTCAGGGTGCTTTGTAAATGCAAAATGATCAGCCCTGATTGGCAGTGGCAGTAGGGTGTGGTATGCATCCCCAGAGTGGGAACAGAAGCCTGATTGTACCTTTGGTTAAGCTCCTTCCCCCCTTTTCCTCTATCACTGAAGCCTGTTTTGGAGATCTGTGCTAGCCTCTTTTGTGTCTTCCAAAGTGACCTCTTACCCTTGAAATAGAACCCAGAGGGCTCTCTACTTGCCTTGTTTGCACCTGCCTTTCTGACTATACAGGGTTTGGGCATATCAGGCTGCAGTGATCAAGAATAGCAGTGCTATGACAGCTCGGATCAGAACTACTCAGAGGATGATTAAATGGATTACCTTTATGAAATGTTCTCTCTCTTTGCCCTCCTCTTTGTATATAGTCACACAAGAGGGATTAGCTTTGGTTTCCTAGAGGGTGTTTATGGATACTCCTTGTTTGCAGGTGGTTAAGATGGAGTTAAATGCATTTAGCCTTTCAGAATTCTCTTCGGTTTGACCTTTTCCCGTTCTATGTGTTTGGGAGATGGTGGGGTGGTAGAATGTGGTGTTTGTGAAGGGTAGTTGGAATTTTGTCCTGATATCTACAGGGGGTGGGAGTGGGAGGTGTTCCAGAGATGGGTTTAATAGGGCAGCAAACAGATCTGAGCATGTTGCACTTTCCTTAAAGAACTGATGGTTTAGCATTGCCTATGTATTAAGTCCAAACCCCTGAGTGTGATAATGTCAGAATGTGCTGAATTGTTTATTGGGTAGGATCTTGTAGTTGAGGAACTTTAAAGTCCCGTTCTGGCTACCTGTTGAGATTCGGTTTCATTGGACACTTCATTATCGGAAAGTTTTTCATTTACAGGAAAATTATTAAGCATCTGCCATGCACAGTCCTAACCTTGGGGATTTGGGTCTATATAGTGTCGTGGGGAGGACAGGCAAGGAAACAGGCCGTGTGAGAAGTATTGTGAATAGGATAAACACTATGAGAGCATAGAGAAATGGTTACTTACCCAGCCTTGGAGGCTTCTTCAGATCTCAAGAAAAACAGAGAGACCTGAGGCAGGAGGAAACGAGATTTGGAGAGTTGAGGAGAGAAGATAAGACTAGGCAGAAGGAATTGTAAGTTTAGAGATGGTGGTGGTAATAGGTAAGACTTTTGGCCATTTACTGTATCTATCAGGTACTATACTCTTAAGCATTTAACATGTGTTACTCCTTCCTATAACCACCTTGAGAAGTATACTATTATTCCCACTCCATAGGTGAGGAACAGACCCAGAGGGGTTAAATACATCTCTCAGTTTTCTCAAGATTCTTGAATGGATCATAAAACAAAAGATGGGTGGATGTGACCCGAGATGAGAGAAGACTGGTACAGTAGGTAGAGCAGAAGCCAAGTCATGGAAGGGGCTTGTTGCCCAGGTTGAGGAGTTTGAACTTTAAACTGAGATGAGGGGGGCCATGCTCCCCTGGGCATTTTAGAAGGCTCTCTGGCTACCTGTTTGGGGACTGGATTGGAGGGCTAGAGTACCTTGGGCAAAAAAGACCAGTTAGGAGGAGGCTGTTATGGTACATACAGGTAGGAGATGATGTTTCCAATGAAGGGTGTGTGTGTGTGTGTAGAAGGAATTGTGAATGAGACACAAAGATGATTGGTGTGGAGAGTAAGCAAGAAATCAGGGATGACTTCTAGATTTCTACCTGGTGCAGTTGTACAGATGAGGATGCTGATTATTGAGGTGAGGACACAAGAGAGAGGGTGGATTTCTCATGCAGAGTCCTACATCTGCTTTCATTTACCTTCTAGTTACTGATCCTAGTTCTCCATGGGGAGGGTGGGAGTGGGGGCATGGGTGAGGGAGAGATATTTTGCAACACATCTGGTAACTATTCCTGACTAAACTGGGTGATGTAAACGCTAGTTTCTTTTTTTTCTATTTTTTTTTAATGTATTTATTTTGAGTGAGAGGGGAGGGGCAGAGAGAGAGAGGGTGAGAGAATCCCAAGCACCCTCAGTGCTCTTAGTGCAGAGCCAGATGCAGGGCCTGAATTATGAACCATGGGATCATGACCTGAGCCAAAATCAAGAGTTGGATGTTTGACTGAGCCATGCAGGTGCCCCAACACTAGTTTAGAAAAGGGGAAATATTAAGATATCAGACACCCAGGC